TCTCTCTTTCCCTCCTTCCCTCCTTCCCTCCTTCCCTCCTTCCTTCATAAAAACATCCACTCACTGGCGGGGCTCCTCTCTTAGGGAACTGCATTTAAGAGAAGAAATTATAACTGCATATAAGACCAGACACGTGACAAAGTCCCATAAGAAGGCCGCTGGGGTCTGTGCTGTCTGGTCCCCACGGAGCACAGTACCGCTCACCGTGTGAGGTCACTGCTGCTGCCATCACCATCTTTATATCGAAACGGAAAGAAATTTGTGATTCGCTTATGCCCTTCTCAGCTGTGCAGCTGGCTAGTCTCAGGTACCCTGGAGTCTGAGACTCCATCCCCCAGATGATCCATGCAGTGTGGGGAGTGGGAGATGATGAGAGAAGACAAGGATTGAGGGGAGGCCAACCCCTGCTGAGCAGATTCAATATCCCACCCTGTTGGGGGCCTGCCTGTCACCCAGACAGTAGCAGCTGTCACTACAGACAGCACTGAGTGCTCCTTGAACAAGACCTCCTCACTGTGCCACCCACTCTCTGGAGCCTCCGGTTTTGATTTCACAGTACTGCCAATGCATCGGTGGGCAGACAGTGTCCTCTGGGACTGGACTGGATGGAACTGTGACGATATCATCTGTGGTCTCTCCCGCAAGACACTACAACTCCCTTGTGTGGACTTGTCAGGATGTGTCTTAGACATCACATGAAAAAAAAATGCAACTCCATGGAGATCAAGGGCAACCTCTGCAAATCCCGCTGTAGATAAAAATTAAAAATTAAAAAAAAAAAACACTGCTGCCTCCCTGAGCTCCTGCTGCCCCTCCCTGCCTCATTTGGGGGGGACAACTGCTGGAAGCTGAGTTCCAAAGACTTGAACACGTGGCTACTTGGACAGTTGGCACTAGGTCACTGTGTGGCTGGATGAGGGGGTGACTTGCCCCCATCACCCTCAGAGAGCCACCAAGGGCACTGCCATGTCTCTATCGGGTTTTCTGGGCTACACAAGGACATCAGGTAGTCATAAAGCCAGGTTATAGGACGAGACACATCAGCGCTGTACATAAGCACATTCCAAGTACGGCTGGCACGGGTTCCTTCAAGCTTGTGATGTCCCTGACCACTCTCACCCGGAAACAAGGTAAACGATGAGAGGAAGGGAGGTGTGATGTGCTTTCTTCATGTAGAGGCCGTCTTGTGAGTTTCAAATTAAAACCACTGAGTCCTATCGAGTTACAATGGCTATGTTTGAAGAATGGAAGCCAATGAAACCATCACTCTCAGATGTGAGGCGCTGACTTCATGTTTACCGCCGGTCCTGTCATTGAGAACTTTTCTCTAACAAATGATTCGGGAGACACACTGTTCGGGGAAAGGTTGCTCTCCACACCTGTTCATTCCATACTATGTGCATTCTTAAAGGCTTTTAATACTAGTTAACTAATTAGCTCTGCCCACATAGAAAAAGTGATCAGGCTTAGGGAAAGAGTTTCTCAACCGAAGTTTTCACTGCCCAGTACACACACACACACACACACACACACACACACACACACACACACACACACGCATGCACACATGCATGCACGCACATGGCTGCCGGAAAGCAAGCTCAAACATCCCAAGTCGTGGAACCCACACACTTCAATTTGGCTCCTATAGTGAAAAAGGTTTGTTCTTCTGTGGCAACCGGAAGAGGCCCCTTGCCAATTTTAAGAGTCTTCTGTGTTAACAGAGACACTGTGTTGTGATTGCCTGGGCAAAGAATTCCATCTCAGAGACAATGGGAGGCACAATCTGAGAAGCCGAGAATGCAAATGGAATCAATGTGTATCTCCCCATTCTGGTGTCTTCAAGGATTGCATGGGCAACTCCAGCTCTCTGTGGGTAGAAGAAAAGCAGAATGCTGTAAAACCTGGAGGGAGCTGAATATCTGAGCAATGAGAAAAGCCTTCCGAGAGAAGGCAATGCCTTCTTTGTATCTAGGCAATGCCACCTGAGGTGAATGGCAGTGGGCAATCACACTAGCCTAGTGTTGTGGCTAGGACAGTTCCCCGTCCCTCTTGTGCTCAGAGAAGTCCAGGGTCACTCATCACTCACTGACAGACCTCAGAGTCCTAGGCAGTGCATTCAAGTTCCACTCTTTCCCACCTCTGAGTCCCACTCTCAACTCACCACTCCATCCAGAGCCCAGCATCCTCGCCTGCATCTGTGGTGTCGGCCTCTGACATGGGGCAGGACTCTTAGCCTTGGAGATGGCCATCCCCTGGGGTACCCCTCCCAGGTGTCGCTTGCAGAGACATGACCTCTGCTTTATTTTTTTAAGGGAGTGTAAGTAGCCAAGAACTGGTGGGTGGAGAAAGCACAGGCCTTGGGGTGAAGCTGTTACTACAATTCTGCTAAATGGATACAGTATCAAACTGCCTTCTAAGTCTCTATCTCCCTAGTGCAGCTCTCGGGCCTCCTCTGTGAGTATCAGAGAGTGCAGGAACTCAGAACTGATCAGAGTGAAGTACGGTGAGGGGCTCAGCACCAACTGGACATCTACACCACAGCCCTCCCCAAGGCTCGTGCCCAAGAGGGGCTGGGAAGAGTAAGAGCCAGAGGTGAGGGGGTGGGCAGAGCGAAACAGGTGAAACACACTCTTCCGGACAGGAAGACCACTACACTCAGGAGCTCCCTTTTGCCTGCCCAAGATCAAGCCAGTCGGCATCCAGCATGGGGTGGGAGACGGTCCAGAAACTCCCATCCCTAACTGAGCAGATGTGGAAAAGAGCTCCTAGGAGAGCCAAGGTCGGTTTTCCTAGACCTGGCTTACAATCAGACCCCAGCTGCTGGCCCTACAACCAGAGTATACTCACCACAGACTGGGTTAATGGGTTAGCAGATTGAGAATAGTTTTAAAAGGAAACAAAACATTGCACAAAGGTCACAGAGTACCTGGCAGGGCTGGGCAGAGCCCACGGCCCTGATGCTGCGGTGGGGAACACTGCTGTTTTCCCTTCTGCTCATGGCTTACAAGGATATTTTTAGAATTCCAGAGGTCATCTTTCATATTAAAAATGAAATAGAATCAGATCTGTTATAGATCGGCTTCAAATGCCACAATTTACCTAGATGGAAATATTTTTATTGTAGTATTTTATAATAAAAACAAATTAACCTTTAAAACAGAGAAGTTGACTGCAATTAATAAGTGATATTTTAGGTATGAAGGATATTTCAATAGATGAAAAATATAAACCTAATATTTCTTCTAAGAGATAAAACATACTAATTAGATAAAATGCATTATGTATTATTGCTGTGGATACATGTATTTTAGAATCAAATGACTTCTAAAAATACAACCAGCTTTACATATATACATATATATATATATCATGATAAAAAATAACACAGCTGGAAATAGTGGTACATGCCTTTAATCCCAGTGTTTGGGAGGCAGAGGCAGAGGCATGTGGATCTCTGTGAGTTCAATGCCAGCCTGGTCTACATAGTGAGTTCCAGGACAGACAGGACTATGTAAAAAGATCCTGTCTCAAAAATAAAATAAAATAAAATAGAACAAAACCCGCTAAACCATGAGTTTAAAAAAGCACCAATGCTCACCCCCAAAGATAAAAACATCTCATTGACTTAATTTTCAGTTCCTAGTGATGAACTATGTCTGATAACAATGTTTCATATCTGGTGTTGTTAAAGTGGTTGCATGCAGAAGAGACACTACTTCCTATTATAAATTATAATTTCTTCCTGAATCAGAAATGTGGGGTTCCGTGTTCTCTGTCCTGCTGGACAGCAGCAGAGAACTGCAGAGCCCAGGGGACCACAGCGGGGACAGACACCGTAGTGAACAGGACTTGACTGCTGGGCTGTGATGTTTATTCTTGCTTGATATTTTCAGCTGATGATATAGCTGCTTCTGAAGAAAAGGCCTGCTATAGTCTGTGGTATCTGCTCCACTCGAGCCAGAAGCAAAGGACAACCTGGCTTCACTCCACATCTGAGCCCAGTGCTGGTCAAACCTCAGGAGTAAGAATCGCCAAAGAAGGAGCCTGCCCGGCCCAGCAAAGTGACAGACTGAGAGGGATATGCTTAAGCTGAGGAGGACAAAGGGTGACATCACCCTGGGGACCATTACAGTGGCAGAGCCAGCCTGTCCTGACCTTTCTTTCATCCCACCGCAGGTCTGCTAGGTCTCTAGAACTCTCCTCTTTGTTCCTTTTCTTTCTTCCCAAGTTTTCAGAATTATTTCTAAGCTGCTGAACCCAAATGTGCTTTCCTAAGCCCATACTTCATGTTTATCATTCCTGGTGATGAAGAAAGGAAGTTTCCACCCCTCTCTCTCTCTCTCTCTCTCTCTCTCTCTCTCTCTCTCTCTCTCTCTCTCTCTCACACACACACACACACACACACACACACACTTTGTGTTAGTTATTAATCTTGCCACTATAACAAAAACCCCCAACAAATATTTCTATTTGGGTCATATTTGAGGGCATTAATCCATTACAAGAATAAAAACTACCAACCCTCATATATGTTTTCTTTCTGCACTTATATCTATGACAAAAAAAAAAACTTCTAAATTAGGCCCAGTACCAGACACAGAACAAGAATAAAATAGAAAAATTGCAACAATGAAACTTTAATAAAAGCATATGAATATTCTCTCTCATCCTCCTCCCTCCTTCCATCCCTCCAGATGCCTTATGTACCGCACTTGCCTTAGTTCCCGCTGACTGGGGTAACTGGGAAAGGCGTGAACAAGGCAGACCACCACAGCAGGAGCCAACCCAACAACAACCCCACATCACTGAGAAAGGCGTGAACAAGGCAGACACCACAACAGGAGCCAGCCCAACAACAACCCCACATCACTGAGAAAGGCGTGAACAAGGCAGACACCACAACAGGAGCCAGCCCAACAACAACTTCACATGCCCTCCTTCTCCCTACAGTGTCTCTCTAAAGCCATGTGAAGCTTCACAATGGGGCACACTCAGCATTCGACAATCGCTCACCAGCATCATTTCCTGCAGACGTAGGCAAACCTTGATTCATTCCTTCCCAAGGTTGTGGCACAGGCATCACTCAGTACTGATGAATATGCCCCAGGAAAGTTCTCCAAGAGCAAAAAAATTAATTATGTCTCTTTGCTTTTCTATTACAAAATGTATTCTAATAAAAAAAGTCATGTTGTGTTATGCACATAGCACTTAATAAATATTAATACACCGCTA